GCCACATGCTAAACAAGCCATTCTTCAGAAAATAGAAGATGAGATATTTGAAATGAATCCTCGTACTTTTTTAAATTACACTTTTCTTTTGCTGGCATTTCCAAACAGGTGAAAGGTTTGTTAATTTGGTGGAAGTTAAGACATTTACACTTGATTCAAACTAAACCAAACCAAAAACAATAGGCCTGTCTCTAATCTGCATTTTATACCATGATTAAACCCTGCTCCTGGCTGCATATTATACCTGTGATATTGTTATAACAAAGACTAATTCTTTTGTCCAGTGGGAATCCAGTCGATATCCAAATAATTCAAAGATTGTGCAGAAAAAAGGAGAATCTTGGAGGATGTTTCTGAAAGTAATCTCTGAAGAAAGAAATCAATGAAAGTAAAGTGGAGGAAATCGACCACCAACTGGAGATATTGTGGAGAAATATGGTAATATTGCAGAGCTGTATAAACAATTTGCACTTTGACTGCACACATAGCATACAGTAATACTTTAAAGAGGATGGGGAAGCACAGATTTATCCCGTCACAATCCAGACTGAGCGGTAGTAAAGAATACCAGAGAGAGAACAGAGCCACGTTATATTCAGTAAGGATCTGACTCACGAGAGTCTGTGTACTGCTCAGGGTTGGCCGTCTCAGAGACTTTCTGTTGGCAACATCTACACGTCTACATGTAAAGTGATTTGCTCATTGTGCATTCTTTTTATAGGAAGCAACACAATGTCTCTGGCCATACATAAACCTGAATTCTTCTAGTGAAAATGACAACTTAACATGCATATACACTAAACGATGGCACAGCAAATGTATTGTAGGCTTTCCCTAAAAAATCTGTACTACTGTTAGCTAATATTGGCAATATTATTGGTGTTGGGAACAATCCCAAATTCAGGTAAATTATATGCTGATAGTAAGGATGGTCTGCTCATTTTAGAATATGAAGGTACAGCTGAGAGCTAAAGCAGCTTAACCACAACTGCACATCAACAATCAACTGTTTACTTACAAAGAAATGAACAGTATTATTATTAGAATATTATATATTTATGGTACTTTGATTTTAATGAGGAGAGATGGAATATCACCCAAATATTACATAAAAGTTATAAATGGATTTGAATGCCATTGAGATAAATAAGTATTTGATTGAGCAAAACATGACTTAATACTTGAGAAACGCTTAAAACATTTCTTGTGCTCGGTCACCAGGTTTGCACCCATCTCAGGAGGGATTCTGGTCCACCCCTCTTTCCAGGAACTCTTTGAATCTTTTATGTTCTTGGCTGACCCCCGGTAACTTCATCTTCTTTCCATAGGACTGAGGTCTTTAGCCACTCCATTGTTGCCTTGGTGGTATGCTTTGAGTTCCTGTCATCGTGAAGTGCAGTCCACAACCCATCTTCAGTGTTCTGGACAACACTCGTCTCCACCCACTCTGTGCTACCTGCACTACCTGTCTTCAACTCTTTAGTGTCCTGTCCATAGCTTGGGATGGATGACCCAGGGAAGTGTCCTCTATACTGTTCGGTGCAGTGACACACTGGATTGTAAATCAATCACTATGTGATTCAACTTTTAGCTTTAACTCTACAGTGAACTGTTTTTCATAAACTGTTTAAGGCAGACTTTTTTATAAATTGTCCTCCATTTTTAGAAGATCAAAATTAACGAGACAGACTAAACATAATTTTAAATATAAAAACTCTTTTTAATATTTGGATGACAAAACTTTGCAGTCAATGACTGCCTAAAGCCTCGAACCCATGGTCAGCACCAAATGTTGCTTCCTCCCTGGAGTTGCTCTGCCAGGCTTTACTGCAGTCGGCCTGAGCTGCTCCTTGTTTGTGGTTCTCTCTGCACTCGGTTTCAGCTTTGCAGCATTTGGCTGAACCTGAGCCTGGAGTTTACCTCTGTACACGTCAGACTTCATCCTTTTACTTATCAGCAGTCACATCATCAATAAACACTGGTGACCTGGTTACACTGGCAGCATGACGTGCCCATACATGCAACAATGCTGCTGCGTTACACAGATAATGTGGTCTGCTTTGGACCATGAGCCGTTTCACTCCTCCAGATTTTTCTCTTCTCATTGCTCTTCTACAAGTCGACGTTTGTTTCAGTTTGTTTCATCTGTCCAAAGATTTCTTTTACAGAACGGTGCAGATGTGCACTGCAAAGTCTGATCTGACCTTCCTGGTCTTAATCACCGGTTTGTACCTTCCTAAAAATCCTCTGCTTTCCAGTCGTGAAGGTGTCTCTTGATTGTGTAGACTTTGACAGGCATACACTCCTCTGCTAAAGGGTGTTCTTGATTTGGTTAGATCTTTTGTTTTTTACTGTAATTCTGTAAAAATTACAGTAAAAGGACTAAATTCATGTCCTTTAGTTGTCTTTTGTGGTCTTTCAGTCCTTCTTGGCATTGCTGAGCTGGTCACTGTTTTCATTCTTTCTAACAAGCTAAAGTTTTTGCTGTCTCTCTGACGGGTTTATTTGGGTTTTTAAAAATTCTGATATTATGTCTGCTTCATTTGTCATGAGAAACGAGAGGGCAGGCCATCAAACAGCTTGTCACTGAATTGGGGCACTGTGTATGAGCATTCTTGTTATTCTCTAACAGGTTCTGCAAAATATTTGCAAAATGAATTAAATTCAAGCTGAAAGTCTGCACTTTACTCACATGTTGATTATTTGACTTAAAATCCACAGTAGATGTTTACAGAAGCAGAAGAACAAGAATAACGTCTTTGTTCCAAACTTTATTCAGACCTTCAGTATTTATCCTTGCATGTTCACCTTTCACCTCTCCCCGATACTCACACACATCCATTCTGTCTTGCTCGTGCTGACTGTCCTTCCTCTTCTTCCCAGAGCATACCTCCACCGCTCCAGACTCTCTTCCAGCCTCTCCTTAGGCTCATTACAGATCTCAGTGTCATCTTCATATATCCTCCTCCACAGAGACGCCTGCCTGACCTCGTCTGTCAGCCATCCTTCTCTTTCTCTCATTTTCTATATTGATCAGCTCCTCGAACTATTCACTTGTTAGCATATTTCCATCTTCATCATTAATCTAAGCTGCTTAATCTCTCTGTCTAGCCAATGATTCCTATTCTCCTTCTTTAGTGTCAGTCTAACATACCTCTCACTATAAGCCTCTGCTTTTGTCACCGTTCTCTTCGTTGTACACCTAGCTTCCCAGTACTCACGTCTACTCATCTCTTTGATTGTCACACTTTTTCTTCCCACCCAGAGCTTTTCAGCTCCTCCCTGAACTCTGTGTAATATTCGTCTTTCTTCAGCTTTCACCATTTAATCCTTTCCTCTGCTTTCATTCACTTTCACTTCTTGAATTGAAAGCCATCCTACAGACTACCAACCAAGCGAGCTCTCCCCTGATACCATCTTGTGGTCTCCTGTCTATTTTAGATTTTATCTTCTGCATAAAAATGTAGTCCACCTGTGTGCAGCCTCCTCCACTCTCATGTTATCCTGTCTCTGCCTCTTCTTAAGGTCAGTGTTCACAGCAACCATTTCCACCCATTTTGTAAAATCCACAACCATCTGTCCCTCTGTATTACTCTCCTTAACACCGTACCTATCCAACACTTCCTCATCGCCTCTGTTCACTTTATCCGATTTCTCCAGAATTCCTGTTTCATCAAACATCCAACCTGCGGGGCACGGATGCTGACATCATTCAACATCACCCTTTCAATTTCCAGCTTCAAACTCGTGATCCTTTCCGACACTCTCTTCACCTCCATAGTACTGTTCACATTTTCTTCCTTCAAGATTACCCCCACTCAGTTTCACTTCTTAACCATACTGTGCTCATTTACTGAGAGTGGCAGAACTGGAACTCCTGCATAAAATGAAAGCTAAGGGAGAACATCCAAGTCTACACAAAAGGGCCCTGTCTGTGTGAGTTCAATACCAGGACCTTCTTACTGTGTGCCAACAATAGCTGCTTAGCGTGAGGACAATGGTCATCAGTGCTGGGTGTCCATGGAGCTTTATATGTAAATGTGAGAGTAGCAATGATCCCTACAGCTAACTCAGAGCAATAAGACAAAAGATAAAGGCCTGCCGTGTGGTATCGTGGAACGTAAGTCTGCATCTCTTTCTTCTCTTCTTTCCCCCCTCACCCCCAAACCAGTGGCAGCAGATAGCTGCCCCTCCCTGAGCCTGGATCTGCCTGAGATTTCTTCCTTTTCTTCCCACCATTGCAAGAAGCCTGCGTATGAGCTCATTTGAGTGTTGTGGGATTTCTCCAGAATACTGTTGTCTTCACCTTACAGTATAAACCACCTTGACGTGTCTGTTGTTGTGATTTGGTGCTATACAAATGAACCTGAATGAAATTACACTGAATGTCTTTGGGTGCTGTGAGTGTGTTTGACTGTTTGGCAAAGCCCTCAGCCATGAGTAAAAGCACAATGTGAATGTGAGACTGTGTCACTAATGAGAGCTCAACTAGTCACAGATTAATTTACCACCAGAACGTTTAATGTGCTACAGCTACAATATATTTATTGTTGAGGTGTAAGTGGTACCTTTACGGTCTGGTTGTATTTGTGGGTTGTATTTTATTTTGTGCGCTACAGCGTCATAAATGTCCCCTTTGTAAAACACCGTTTTCACTAATAAAAACGATGCTGATGTGTTTGTGCGAAGTAAAGAATTTACACGATAGTACTGCTTGCTGATACGTGTTACATAGCAGTCTGTGTTTGTATGTGCTCGGCTTTGGCTCGGGCTTTCTACATTTCATGTACTAGGCAGGCTATAACGTTTGCTGTTGCGTTGTTTTTTATTTGCATTTGTCAGAGTTGTCGTTGTGTAATTCGTGTGCCTCCTTAAACAAATGGCGTGGACACCGGGAGGCTTGTTCACAGCCTTTGCGTGTGATACCGATCCAGCAAAAGCATATTTGAAGCTGAGAAATGTGGTACTTCCTGAAATTTCCCATGGCTTGCGAATGTAGCAGTGGCTGCCAGTAGAAGGAGCTCTTCGGTCTTACCTAATCCAAAAGGCAAAACATACACAAACATGGCGTTATCACGAGCGGGCGAGATGCTGTCCTCTCTTCGCTGTGTGTTGTATTTATTGGTCCTCAGCGTGGCAGGAATAAACTCGTCGACTCTTCGTCTTCATCCTGAGCAGCGTTACATGCTGCCGCAAAACAGAGGATTTTTCACAATAGAAGCAAGTGAGGCTTCACTGCACGGAGATGGAGGTGGCTCCGCGGCTCGAGCGCTGCATCTGCCCGCTCGCAGTGGAATCGAAGGCGGGTCGGTCTCCAGCGTCTACCCGCAGCATCGAAGTCGCCGGAGCGCTGGTAAACCGGCGATGCCAAAGGTGTACGGCCAGGTAATATAACGCATTAACTGCGTGATACCGCTCACTTTGACGCGCACATCGAGCTTCACCTCAGCCTGACCTTACTGGTATGGGTGGCGTAAAGAAATTACGCACTGTTGTTTCCGAAGTAGCATCAATTCCTGCACCTTATGCTTGAAGCAGGCTCCTGTTGTGTGGGGGTCGGTTTACCTGATGCCTTTAAACGTCACACCGGCAGTGTAACATTACAATTCACTAAACGTTCATTCAAATGAATGTAATTGGTCAGCGGCAACCTGTCCGCGACACTTTCGACTGTCGCTGAAGAAACGAGACAAAAGTAAGACACTGCGTATGTTCAACGGAGTTCCCGAAACATCTCCTTTGTCGTGCCAGGGAACGGAAGCGTAACAAGACCAGAAAAGTGAATTAGGCAGAGGGTTTGGTGTCAGTGTAAGGGGACTGGTGCTAACGCTAGGTGCGAAACAAATGTCCGTGTCTTTACCTGCCGTCTCCGGGGGGTGGGCTGAAGCGAAATCACCAAACGTGGATCCCATACAAAGAGCCCACGGAGGCAGACAGAGCAAGAAATTCCAAATTTTAAGTGGAATTATGCGTGGAGCTCTCCACACCCCAGGTCACTGACCTCAGTTTGGCTAAATGTAAAAGCAAATGTTTTCCTGGTGATTTGCACCTTTGGGCCACTTCCACAGCTGCTGCATCGGTTTGTCCACTTATCTGTGTCCTTGCCCCCCTCGCCCATAGTATTCTTTGCTAAGGAGAAGGTGGAGCCCAGTAATGGTTAACTACAGTGCTCTTAAGTGCTATTATAGCATTGGTATTCATTACAATGCATTGTAATAAATATAATGCTATTGCACTCTTTGTTGTCTTGTGGGATTATACAGTTATTGAGCATGCACAGACGACAGCATGACGAAGGTTGTTTAATGAAGCATTACAGCTTCAGTTGTGCCAAGGGAACACAACTGACAGGAAGAAACAGCTCACTTCCACTAAAGAAAAAGGAATTCATCACCGTGGTTCTCCATTTCAAGTATGATGAACTTTGCTGGAAACCTTTTCAAGTCAACTGGCTTTTATTGTCATCTCAACCATGTACAGTGGTACAGTACAGCTTGAGATGATACAGCGTTCCTCCGAGACCGCGACGCTACATATTACATACAACAGACGAACACAGGACTATGTAAAGTGCAATGTGCAAAAATTGCAAAAAAAACCCAAGACAAGAGCCTGCAATGGAAATGTGCTAAATACTGAGTACTGTGCAAAAAGTAACTTGGTGCCTGAAGGTGTGTGTGTGTGATCCCAGTCACTGAGTGTTCAGGAGTCTGAACACCTGCAGGTAAGAATCTGTAGACTGTCGTCCTGCAGTATGATAGTAAACAGGAAAACTTTGGGTTCAGTTCTGAAAGATGAACAACATAACATCATTGTTTAAAGAAAACTTTTTATTATATTCCATATTTTCACCAACCTGCCACATCATTCTTTGTGAGGGGCAGCCAATCAGAGCAAAGGGAGGGGAAGAGAGCTAAAACACCTTTGGTCAGACAGTGGATCAACTGAGGGGCTCCGCTAAGGCTCACTATAAGATGCATAAGGATCATTTTCCAATGAGGCATACAGATAAATGTAAAAGATCCAGAGAATCAAATGGCTGTAAATTTAGGAAACAAGTCAAGTTACTCTTTTGAAAAAGCAGCAGAAAAAAGTTGGAGTGTGAAAACAAATATTGTTTAGTGTTTAATCGGTGGCAAAATGTATATATTGGTTTTCAAGGAACAGATAAAAGTATCTGTGTCTGTTTAAAAACCCAACGAATGCTTTGTACGAGAGAAGAGAGGCAAATGGACGTGTCCACGAGTTGTCATCGAGCTGCTTTCTCGTGCTGACTGACACTTCTGGTGATGCCTTCAGTCAAAACACAGCTATAGCCTCCAGAGAGTCACATCGGGATCATGTTTTGTCACTGGTGAACGATAAGGCTGGAGGAGGTTGGCTGGTCGAGTGTTTGCTCCTCAGCTCGCTGTCCCCGTTGGCTTGTAGTGGTTTGACTAAACTTGTTAAGGTCCTCGAGCAGGCATTGTAATTAGAGGTAATGACTGTCTGAGTTGGGTGCAGTGTGCATACTTGATCGTGAATCTGTTCACCTAATCAGCCTCGACTGTTGGAAGATGAGAATATCACAGGTTTGGATGACGCCATTAATGTGAAGGTCAGATGGAGCTGTGGACAATGGCAGCTTTATGCCAAACCAGAGTTCACGGCAGGAAGTTTCAATGTATTTTCTCTGTGTCCGAATGCGGGAAGCTTCCCTCATTGTGTCAGCCATGACCAAGCTAGAATGGTGAAAGCTTGAAAGCTGTGCTATCATTATTTCCCAGTCTTAGTAAGTCTTCATATCTAAGGACCTTCACTGGGCAAAATTCCTACTAAACTTCTCACACAACCCACCTGCTTCAGCGCTCACATGCTCTCTTGAAACAGTGTGTTGTCCTAGAAGTGCAACACTTCAAACAGCTGCAGTTTGTCTGATTTGATAAAATTGATATTAAATAATTGATAAAAATGCAGAAACACCCAGGAGTTCACGATAGGACTCAAGTTATTAAAAAATAGAAAATGCTAAGATTTTATTAGGCTGCAAATGTGTTCAAGGTATTTTTTTTATTATTCATTGATCTGCAGAGTCTCACTTATTTAGTCTTTAGGTTTCTGTTTTTTCATATTTGATAACCTCGAATTAGAGTGTATTTGGTTTTAAAACCACTTAAGGGACACTTAAACTATGTAGAATTACACTTTTTTGGTCAAAGTTAAAAAAATGTTGCGTAATTCAGCACCTGAGGCGCTGCAGGTTCACACATCTGGATCTGAGCAGTGTTTTCTGTCTGTCTGTGAACAGCATTAGTCATGCCTCTGTTATTATGATCGATCATAACAGCACTACAGCGTTTTACATGGTATAAAAGTGTCGTAAAAAATATCATTATGGTAATATTATGATTTTGCCAAAATTAACTTGATCTAACTTTGAGGTTAAATCAACCAACCCTTCTTTCCACTGATGCTCTGTGGGTTGGGCTTTGGCTCAGCCACTCAAGGACTGTCACTCATTGTCCTGAAGCCATTCTATTCTTCTTCTAGCTGTTTGCTTCAGGTCAGGATTAAAAGTAAAGTTAAAGTAAATAAAACTGTACAAACTGCTGTCAGAGAGTTCCAGAGTCTGGGGGCCAATGTAGCTCTGTCTCTTATAGTTTTCAGCCTCATATGCTGCACAGCCAGCAGGACCCTGATCACATGACATCACGGTAGAGCTGGGCGATAGAACGATAACGATATGTATCGCGATATAACTTTTACTCGATAGAGAAATTAAGCTATCGCGATAGACCTCGCCGCTCTTGTCCT